AATACATTGTACACACATCATACATGGTGTTAATACATTGTACACACATCATACATGGTGTTAATACATTGTACGCACATCATACATGGTGGTGCTACCAAATATTATATCAATACATTGTACACACATCATACATGGTGGTGCCACCAGTAATGAAGCAAAATTTATTGAGGATTGTTAATCACAGTTTTATTCAATTTGTTAAATTCAAACATTCGTGTGAGGCTAACAACACTATATATCATTATTTGTTGACAATTGACAAATTCCTAATCCATCATGTACATCACACACAAGCCTATTTAAGGAATGAAATGTGTTTGAGTGAAAAAACATTCAGCATCACTCAGTAAAAGGTTTTTGGCTGACTAATACTTTTGTTTATATTTGCAGGCTCCACCATCTGAAGATGCCGGTAAGTGACTTTATATTTGTCTTAAGTTATCACAGACACACCCTGACTTCATTATACTGACTAATTAGCTAGGTGCATGCCAGATATCTACATCTGTAGGAAATTAGATATATGCTTTAGACCTAACATAAATTGAGATGTACTTGGATCTATAATAAGTATTGAAATGAAAGAATAAAGCAGAATGTCTTGAGAATTTAAAATGTCTGTTACATTTATAAAGAGAGTTAAAACCTTCAGCAAGCAAGTTAACAGATAAAACAACTGTCAATGAGATGGATTCTCTTTATTTGTAGATGTTTAAATGCTGAAGTATGTGATAATTAAACGTTCCTTACATTATCTTACTAAAACACTAGTATGAGGTTCTAAATATCTTTAAGTTTTGTTTTTGTCGTTGAGTATAAGCTGTTTTGCAATACAATGCTTGTGTATTGTGTTAACGCTGGAGTGTCAGTGTAAATGCGCTACTGTAACAAAACTCCCGATCTTAGTGTGGCAGAATGCTTATAGTAACCAACTTTTATCTATCATTATTGATTTGAACAATAATACTTTAACCTGTACAATGACTTGTTAACACCAAACTATATTAAATCTGAAAACAATTATACACCAGAACGTAACAGGGTCACACTCAGTATCCTCAGCTTGATACTCCTCTAGCCATGAAGGGAACACTCACCACTAGAGACTCCAACCCCTTTCCTCACCCTACACAGCTCCCAAGTCAGGAACGATGCACTCACTATATATAGAGCTCACAACCCCCTCTGTCATCCATCAATACTTCCTAAGTTTGATAAAAATCCACACAAGAGCCTCCAAACCCCTTTTCCTCATCCACCACTGCTCCTGCGTCGGGAACAGAGCACTCATTTGAGCCTCAAAACCCCTTTCCTCAACCACCAGCACTCCCCTATAGTCAGGAACGGACCACTCTATTAAGTCTGCAAATCCCTTTCCTTACCTCATCACTGCTACCCAGTCAGGAACAGAGCACTTACTTGAGCCTCCGTACCCCTTCCTCGCCCACTATATATACCCTTTCCTTACGTCGAAACTGCTCCCCAGTGGGGAATGGAGCACTCACTCGAGCCTCCAAACCCCTTTCTCACCCTCTATATATAATGCTCCCAAGTCAGGAACGAAGCACTCACTCAAGCCTAACCCTTAGGAACAGAACACTTACGCTCTTTGTCCCTTACCTCATACCTTGCTCACTGCTGCTCGGTCAGGAATGTATATTTACAATCCAGTGAAGAGCAGAGTTGAATTGTTTGTACAGTTCCTCCATCACATACCTCCACACAAGTCATGATGATAAGGAGAAGTCTGCATCATTGTGCAATGTGTATGTGACCTGTCATGTCCAATCTCCATTTGTTAATGTTATCAGTTTTTCCTGGATGTATTTTAGTAAATACAAGTCCTAGGATAGAAAAAGTGAATGCTATTATACTTCCTCAGTAGAGATTTGTAAACATTGTAACATATCTGGTAGAGACTTGTAAACATTGTAACATATCTGGTAGAGACT